GGAAAGAGCTGCTGAGAAGCAGGGAAAATAGGCTGCAGAAGATTTGGGATAGCACTGGAGGGGAGAATCTCCCTACAATAATGGTAATGGAAACAGATGAAGTTTAGGATGAGAGAGGAAGACAGTGAGTCAGAATCTAGAAAGTGGTGCTAGGAATGAGCAGTTGAATATTTGGCTGTGAAGTCTATAGAAAAATGAAGGCTTTTTTTTAATAGCTATTCAAGAGCCAAAAAGTATGACAGTACATTTCTTTGCCCTCTTGCTTTTATAGCTGTTTCGTCTAAAAACCTAGCTTTTGTTTTGTGCCTGTTTAGGGCCTGCCCTTTGTGAGATAGTTTGCAGAATGTAGCCTTCAAAGTCTTCTGTTTATTACTAACTGGCCCTTTTTTTTCCTTCCAAATGTCATCTATTTCATTTGAGAATTGTACCCTGGGGTGCTTCAATTATGTATGAATGTGGAGTATTTGGGATGTGCTTTTCACAAGTGCTTTCAATTTACTGTCTGAGCTTTGAATATGGACAGAATTGCTAATATTTTAGTTTCTAGGGCACTCTTAAATGTGCAGTCAAGATGCAGCTTTTGTTCCTAAGTACTTTTTTTTCCACCTAGTTTCTAGTGAGAGGTTATGAACCTTCTGCATGAGTTTTCCACAGAGTAAATTGTCAGCACAGAGCAAGGAAACTCCTGTAGACTTGTAGCACAGATGTCTACCCAGAGACCTTCCATCCTCTGGTAGCGCGCTCTCCAGCAGTCTGACTCTAGCCAGACATACTTGGTTTGAGTTTCTGAATTGACTTGCCTCTCATCTGTCAGCATGTGAAATCTCCCGCTTAAAAGTGTGATGTATTTTCTGATTGCCTCTGTGTAGGCAACCAGTCTTTCCAGAACAGTTTGACTGTTTTTCTTGTTTTGCAATAAACATGGTCTTCACCCATACCCTGCCACTTGGGTGTTTAGGTATCATGACAAGCTGATATTGGGGGGCTACCAGCTGTCAGGTGCTTTGTGACTTCCCCCCTGATGTGGAGGGGTTGTTGAATAGGACCCAGGGTCACACGTGGCACTGCCTCTCACAGAGGAACAGCCGCTGTGGGACTGTGTTTTAGAGTGGTGGTTAGATACACCCCCACCACGCTCACAGATTGCTGCTGAGACCAATGTTAACTTCACAAATCAATCGGCTTATTAAGGGCTAGCACAAACTGAGGAATGATGTTTAGGGAAGATGTAAATGGCTATATATATACACATATATAAAATGTCCTTTAGGGAGGTAATACAAAAGGGCCTGTGCTTTTAAGGCGTTCTCTCGAGAGGGTTGAGGACCAATGGGAGGAGGGAAAAGGGAGGAAGCCCGACATCAGTCCTGCTTAAGAGCTCGTGCTGTGTGTGCAGGCAGGGTCCCAGCACCAGTGTCTGCAGCAGGGGGGTGTCCCATGCAGAAAGCATCTGAATGGGCCTCAGGGGGCCCCACCTGCTGTACTCACCGCCTTTTATACCCCCCGTGACCCACCTGTCCAGTCAGTGTCACTGTCCAGAGCCAGTTGGCATCCATGAGTCCCAAGTTAGGGTGGTGACCATCAGGGGTATGACTTGTTGCCCATCCTTTCTGTGCTGTACCATCTGTTGTTTCGGTTTCAGTTGTCCTTGAGTAGCAAGCCTGTTTTAGTCCCTTAGCTAGGAATAATCAGGAGAGGCCTTTGCTGACTTAAAAGGCATTTTGTTTAGACTTATGTGGGGAAGAAAAGAACAGTTTCCCACAGGTATATTGACTGATACCTACTTTTGCCTTTGTGATGGGAGGAGAAAAATAGCAGTTGTAGGTGGAAGGAAAGATGAGCCAGAGACTGTGAAGGTCTTTTCTTACTGTCAGGCTTTTCAAGGGAAGAGACTGCTGTGATGCTGAGACTGAAGGCAGAAGAGAGGAGGATTTGAGGAATTGGTGTGAAGAGAGAGGTGGTATTGTGTGCACAGGATTGAAACCTGTTGCACTGAAAAGATTGGGTGCAGTAGGGATGCAGTAGATAGAGAGATGGCAGAATTGAACACATAGCTGTCCTGATAAGAAACAAGTCATTGAGGGATGACTAGAGAAAGCTCTGTTTCTGTCCCAGCACTGCAGGATAAAGAGCTTGTAGTTGCCTCCTAAGACAAATGATGTCATATCTACAGAAGTTATCCCTTTGGTGCTGTAGATCAAATGGATCAGTAGCCAGTAGAAAAGAAATACAGTAAAAGTGATCTCTGCAGATTTTCAAGAAGTATTGTTTTGACTGTCACCCACAGAAGCAGAGGAGGTTACTGCCAGCATCTCCATCTGCTGTCCAGCAGCAGTCGTCAAGACTACTCCTGATGATGTTTTGCTGTTGGAACACATGGAAAGGGCACAAAGCTTTAATGTTGTCACAGGGCAAACCAGGAGCCCTGGTGAATGGTTTAAAAACCATTTTTGGGGAGCAGCTTCTGACTGTGCCTTTGAAGCTCGTGCAGCCAATTTCTGGCATTTCTGTGCTTTTTCTGAAGACTGCTAGCTGTTAAATACCACTTCAATGCATTACAGGATGGGGGGGACTGCTGTGGGCTTCAGCAGGCAGGATCTTAATTATTTGAAGTAGAAAGAAATAAGCTGGATGAGAGGTTGTGGAGAGAGAAAATAAAGGCCATATGGGATCCTAGGCACTTGCAAGGATATATGAAGCTATGGCTTTGCCATTTGTCTGTACCCAGCAGCTGTTTCAAAGTAGCCATTATACCTTCCAACATTATGCTGCAGTCACCCATCTCCCCAGCAGAACTGAACATGATAAAGCTTTGAATGATCCTTCTCGAAAACAACAAGAATTGTGCCAGGAAAAAAAGGCTGTGCTTGACAGGAAAAGAAATGCCCAAGGAGAAAAAAAGAGATATATTTAACTTTGGAGGAAAAATAAAGGTTCA